TAGACTGTAGACCCCCTTACAAGGGGGGCATTTTTTGTTCATCGACCTGATTCGAAAGCGGTTCTCCCTTCTGGTTCCTTGGTCCGGGTTTAGACAGCGGTCCTCACATGTCTCTTTTCAGCCCGTGTAAACATCGCCTTTTGGGCCACTTGTAATTTATGATCAGGTTCCTCTTGGTATGATGGAAATGTAGGGAGCCCCGTAACGTGTCGGAGAAGGAGAGAGCAAACACCGGGTCCCAGCCTTTCCCTGGGTCCAAGCCTCAGACTGGTGAGGGGCCCTTGCCTTTGCAGCAGTGGCCCGTGGCCGGGTTTTTCGCGTACCTTGAGGTATCAGGCAGCCCGCTCGCCCTCTAACTTGAGGTTTGGATTGGATGTGGAGTTGAAGCCCTGGTTCTTGAGGGTAAATGGGAAACCCACCTTCACACCTCCAAACCTGGCTCCAAACCCACCCAAAAACGGAAGCGGAAGCTGAGGTACCACCTGGAGGAGCCGAACCGTTACAACGGGGAGGTGAACGTGAAGGAGCTGACGGGCTGCAAGATCCAGTGGAAGGCACGGTCTGTGGCAAGGCTTCGGACCTCAGAACGGGCCTTGAGGTCTCAAGATTCGGGAAAGCTGGTAATAAAAACACATAGTTAGGACGACTTGTGGGAGAAGATCAGAGTGAACTGTTGTTTCTCCAATGGTGAGGGAAGTCAAGAAGTATTCCGTGGGGGTTATGAATCCTGGGTGCTGGGGTCTTAAGAGTTTGCCAAAAAGAGACAAGGCGGGGCCTATGGGTTGATTTCGGAAACCCAAAGAAGCCAGGATCCTTAATATATGGCAGTGATTTGTTTGAGGGGTCTGTAACAGAGCCGCGGCGGACATTCGTTACAGACCTCGTTACAGACCTCTGTAACAAGACCAGCTGGCTCGTTCCACACCCCTCGTTACACGCCCTGGTTACACACCCTCGTTACACACCTCAGATGAACAAACCGGGCCAGTGACGTGACTGCCCTCTTTTTGCCGCAGCTTGGCTTGCGTTGAATAGCTGCAATCAAGCTGGAGCTGCGGAGGCGCTTTGCGTACTGTGCTTTGCTTTGCCTCGTTACAGACCTCGTCACATAGCCTTCACATACCTCGTTGCAGACCCAACCCCAGCCTGGGCGCCAGCGACCCCGCTTTTATCTGGCGCTTGGCTTCCGTTGAATAGAGCTGCGGAGGCGCGCTTTGCGTCCTGTGCTTTGCTTTGCGTCGTTACAGACGTCATTTCATAGCCGTTACACACCTCGTTACAGACGCAACCCCAGCCCGGGCCAGCGACCCCGCAATTTTGCCGCAGCTTGCCTCACGTTGAATGGCTGCAAGCAAGCTGGTGCTGCGGAGGCGCGCTTTGCGTACTGCGCTTCGCTTTGCCTCGTTGCAGACCTCGTTACATAGCCGTTACATACCTTGTTACAGACCCAACCCCAGCCCGGGCCAGCGACCCTGCTTTTTGTCGCAGCTTGGCTTGTGTTGGGTAGCTGCAACCAAGCTGGAGCTGCGCTGCGCTTTGCTTTGCCTCGTTACAGGCCTCGTTACATAGCCATTGCATACCTCGTTGTGCTGCGCTACATTGTGCAACTGATATTGCTTGTCAGGAAAAGTTTTCCCGTTACAGACCTGCGTAACAAGGACCTCCGTTACAGACCTCCGTAACAAGATTCGTGGCGCGTCGCGCGTTTTACAGACCCCTACAAAATCATAGCCATATATATATACATATCTTTTTGAATTGGTCAAGCACCATTTGCTTACTAATTTTAACTGAGTTTCATTTTGGTGGAGTGGGCTGGGCAGACCAGAAGCCTGCTGGAGTTGGGTGCTTCTCAAATGGGAGATGGACCTCCTTTTTGGCTTTCCAGGCAGAGCAAGGAAGCCCTCGCGATTGGTCAGGGTAGAAGCCTAAAGGCGACGATGCCTCTTTCAAGCACGGAAAGGAGGTCCGCAGAGTTAGGACCCCATGCCTACGAGAGCCGGGGACTTGGGGATAGGTGTGACAGGGTTAGCCAAACATCGCCATTTGGGACGAACAAGAAAAGCTGACTCTCGTGCACAGGCACGTCGCGACCCCGGGCTGGACAGGCCAATAGTACATATCTGTGTCCTGGGCGGTTTATGGGTTTGTCTTAGACCAAACTGTGGCCTCTTTATGTGTTGGGCAGCTCCGAACCTTTAAGGTCACGAAAGAACCCACGTAACAACCTACGTCGCAACTCACGTTGTAAGTTAGCCCTGCCCCTGCGGCAAACAACCAGCCTCAACACAATCAGCCCTGCATGTAGTTGCTCGCAACATCTTGCAACATAGTATGCAAACAATAAACTGCATTATTATGCATAGCAAATCAATTTTGCGAGCAACATAAAGTCCAGCGTGGCACTGCGACAACACATGCCGACATGTTTGCAAGGCCAAGTCATCAGACATCTTAAGAACATAATTGCAAAGGCATGGTCTGTGGCTACATTGGCTTGGCACTACAGTTGTGCCCACTAATTCTTTGCTCACGGCAAGAAGTAAGAAGCAGCTTGTGCCAGTTTAAAAGTTCAAGATCGAGCATTCGAGTCAAGAACCGGCTACATCTTGACATATGTGTAAGGCTAATATCTTGAGACAAATCACGGTCTAAAGCACGGTTCAGAACGGTTCCTCTGCGTCCGTGCGCTGGCCTCGGGAACGGTTCAGAACGGTTCCGTGGCTAGGAAAGGCTTGGAACGGTTCAGAACGGTTCTGAACCAAGATGCGTTTATGGACACCCGTGACCTGCCACGGTTCAGAACGGTTCAGGTTGTAGCGGGTTTGCTTTGCAGGAACGGCTCAGAACGGCTCAGCTGTTTCAATGTTTGGGCGCATTTTCGATTGTAATGAGTTGTCTCCACCGATCGTCCTGGAGGCAACTCACGAACACAAACGTTGTTGCGAGATTTCTGGCATGTCATGCTTAGTATGCTTGAAAATGTTGCAAAATTAGTTTCGCACAAGAAGTCAAAGCGGATGTAGCGGTAGCGCCTGTCGGAAACCTCAAAGTCACAATCCCATTGCAAATGGTGATTTCCTGCAGGATTCCGGGTGAGGGCGTGGGAAGCTTGAGCCACCTGACACGACACATGACCACTTTGCAGTCTTGCTCAGGGCGAAGTTGTCCAAACTAACCCCAGCGACTGAAATTCCAAAGCCCTTGCACGCATTGCTCCTGACCCTGAAAGAAGCTGTTCGGAACCGTCCGGAACCGTTCTGAACCGTTCAGGCAAGGCAAACGTGCTGCGCAAAAATGTACGCGGAATGCGCGCGGACTGTCGCTTGTGAAGCTTCTCTATTTTGTTTGGTCTGAAACAGTGACCAAAAGGGTCTGGCACGCATCCAACAAAAATGCACGAGAAAACCAGCGCTAGAGGCAATTTCCGCGTGGCACGAGTGGAGAAAAACTAGGGCAAGCGCACACAGGCCGTTTTGTCTAGCTACCTGACACGCAGGGTGAACAACGCCCTGTCTGAAAAGAAGATGGTTCGGGTGCATCCACGCTGGACTGGTGAAGCTTGGCTGAGAACAGGAAAATTTAGTTGGGCAGCCCCACGCTGAAGTGGCGCAATATAAAAACGCAAGTTGAAACTGGGTGCAAACCTCGTATAGAAAAAATGGCAACATGTACGCTGGAGAGGAATATTGTTAGGCCACACTTGGTTGCGGCCTGGCCATAACGTTAGGCAAGAGCATCTGGCACATTTGCGCCGGCCCGGCGCAAGTC